AAACAACAGAAATCACTAAATATGCCCACACAAAAATTACTCCCAAAACGGATGGTTATGGATAATCACATGAAAGTTTGTACCAGCGTACCATTTACTAGATAATACCGATCTTAACCTGCGTTTACAGGTCGGAAGTGAAAAATTGGAGTGCGAGACATACTCTTCACTCTTCAGGACACCTTTCCAAAAACCATATTCCGGTCTAGGACTAGTCGCGAGACCAAATATTATCACTCGGCTGAACTGTCTATTCCTCTCGACTCGAGATGGCGCTGTAAGTATTATATACATTTCAAATATTATTGTAATATGGATATTTAACTATTTTTTTTTTCTAGGTTTCTTATTGTATAGTTTGAGGATGAAGTAAATACTTAATTGCTAACCTGAAGGTATTATGAGATAACAAAATTTTATTCATTTGTAATAATGAGACTGATATTTTAGCAATTAAGACGTTCCTAGTAAGACGTTCTATTCGAGGTATTAATTTCAAGAGTTGACTGACTTGCGGATATGAATGCGGAAAGGACATATACCAGGAATATCGGAAGATCGGAAGTACATTTTTGGTAATCCTAAATTGAAAAATATTTCAGAAGAATTTACTCTAATTATCTTTTTTTTTTGAAAACCTTAATGATAAAAAGACTTTACTAACAAGAATAACGCTAACTATAAAAACTATATTTCACTAAGGAATTATATTACTAAGCTATTAAATATAGATATCTACATATATACAGGGTATTATTATTTTAATGTTTAGTGCCCAATCTCTAAATGAAAAATAAATCGTAACAGCTTTGGTCGCATCTGATGAAGCTGTGGTAATTTTTTTTGCAGGTATTTTGATTCACTCTGTATATTAATAAATTTGGTGATAATTTCTGATATGTACTAACTAAAACTTTCTATATTATGTTTTCTATATAAACCCAGACGTTTTGATCCTTCTGTAACTTCATAGGATCTTGTGCCCTAGAGGAAACGTGATTATTCAAATAACTTGCCATTTTAGTTTTCGCGGAAATATTTATAATTCGTATACAAGCATTATAAATCAATTAATTCCCTCTACTATATATATGTTCCCAATGGTGGTTCGTCGGAATAGGCAGGGTGGACAATGCCAATTCCTAAAAAAATTGGAGAAAAGAAAAAAAGATTTTTGGCATAATTTAATCCAATGATGACTGGTTGCTAAATAACGAAATTGGTTTTGGGCTTTCCGTTAACGATAAGAAGTAAATGTTCCTTATTAACCTTAATTCAGCTTATTTGATACTATTTTTTTAACATTAGAAGTATTTTTTTCTAAGGGATTCTGATTTTTTTCTTTTTAATAATTTCAACAAATCTTTAAATAATCATTATAAATTGAGTTAATAAATCAGACAAAGAACAACCGATGATGGGAACTGATGCAGCCAACTTCAAGTTCGTTCTAGCCCATCTGATTATATCGCATATGCTTCGATTATTTCCGGGTAAGGTGATCACATTTTTGTTGTTTAGTAACTTTTCCGATATAACAATTGAATAAAAATCTTTAGAACATAAAAAATGTAAAATTACCATAGAAAGTCGAGGTATTGTTAATACTAAAACAAAGTATGAACATATGGGTTTTACTGTTTTTCTAGCTAGACAATATTAATTAAAAAAGTGTACCTACTAGAGCTTCATTATTAATTCAAAAGTTGAAAAAGGTATAACAAAAAAATCAAAACTAAGTATAACTAAAATAAGTTTCAACGAAAAAAAAATTATATATCCACAAGTTTCGATGAGTGCTGGTAATTCTGTACCAGCCTAGGATGCCCCACTTTGCCGTTACAACAGATATTTCACCAGGAGAAATCCTTTGTTGTTATTGAAAACACCCTAATGAAGTTATTATGATGGATTTTTTAATTTACCATAATTTTTTTCGCATTAAAAATTCACTCAGCGGTTTACTGAATAAATACAAATTAACATTGAAAACTCATAAAACTTCGATTAATACAGTGCTCACTCACTTAATTATCGAGTAAATAATTCAATAATCGTGTAAGCGAATTATAGACCAAATGATAGGTCTGGATGAACAATAATCATTTGAATGCGTTGAAATTACTGCTATATAAACTACGTAATGTGGGGGCGTGAATATTAAATGACGCGTAACGATATTACTGATATATTTTCTCGTCATCCCCCTATGTGTTAGGGTGGAAAACAACATGGTAACAACGAGTTGTCTATCATTTTAAATATTAATTTTTATCGTCCGCGTGTTGGGCTTCCTCGAGTAGTTTACGTTCACAAATTCATTTGTTTCTTTTTAATTTATTACACTGTTACATCCGTATTAATTAAATGGAAAATATAAACAGCCCATACGAAATTATTTATTCACATTATTCGCTTACTATACAGGATGTGTCAAAGGAATAAGGGATTCTTGAAGACAAATTTTATTTCTTTTCTTTGCAGTTTCAATGATTAAAAAAATGGTAGGTATATACGTACTACTATAGTTCGATGTAAAAAATCCAACCGTTTTACTGATTTTATTTAATTCTTGGGTGTCTAGAAACGAATTCGAAAGAAAATAAATACTATGATTCAGGTATACTGAACTATTTCTTTCAGTAAAATTATCTTTTATTTTATATTCCACAATATTTCAATAATTTTATATTACTCCTTTGTTATGTTATTACCTGTCGTTAATTGAGAGTTTTTTTTAATGAAAAGATTGTCCCTAGTATTTTCTGAAGGAGCAGATATTGAAAATCAAGAGTTTTCCTCGACCTTTGGTGATACTTTTTGCCAAATAAAATAAAGAAAACCACATAAGAGCATTATTGTTAAAATTTATTATTTCTTGGATAGTCAGCATTTTTTCCATTAGTTCCCAAGTTTCAATTGACTTTAAAATATGTTTTGAATGATTGTATCACTAATCTCCGTATACTAATTTTAATTCATATTTTAATTACATTAGTAAAACTTGAAAAGAATAAAGTATAAAATCATCTCTGAAATTTCTTTATTTATTCCTATAAAAAAAAACAGCAAAAGTGCGCACTCCTGCATCACCGTACCCCTGTATTAAGTTTACTTTTTTCATTATTGTTAAGAAATAAATTTATTACCGGAATCTAATGCCAACTTAATTTCTTTCGTTGAATAATATAGCTATAATAATATTGGCAGACCATATTCATAACTAAATTTCAAAGACACGCCAATTTTAATGGTTTACTAATAATTCAAATAAAATAATTTTGATAGAAAACACAGGCTTTTTATTAAAAATTGTAAATATTTTATTGACAAAAAATACGAGATGCATTCTTTTCTATCGATAAATATTTTAAAGGGGTAAAAAACACCCCTAAAGTTTACCCCTAAAAACAGTTTTTTCAAGAAATCACTGTTTCTGTGCAATCTTTTTTTAACCATTTGGAGATTATTTATTATCGATCGCCGATATTATAAAAAAAATTGTTTAGAAACAGAGGTTTCTTGAAAAAATTGTTTTGTGGGGTATCTAAACCTTAGGGGTGCTTTTCCAATAATATACAGGGTGCTTTTTAAGTTTGAAACACGATATAGAAATCAAAAGGTAAACACATTTTTCAAATGACTTTTTTTCGGAAACTCAAACGTAATGAAAATAAAAAACTAATCTCTTAATTTAGCTTGTAAATAGCACAAAAGATTTCAACCTTGTAAATGCCCACTGTGTTCTTGTAATATACACACATAACAAATCAATGACGTATAATAGTACCTACACTAAACTCCACGACTATTTAAACTGAATATTCGATGTCTACGTTAAATTGTTCATGATTCGTTTCAACAATAATAGTATCTGTACCTATATTATTTATTAGGTGAGGTTAGGAAAAAATACTACTATTAATATTACTATTATATTTTTAAACAAATCCACGATATCGTGCGTTATTTAAAATAATGTTGCTATATTGTTATACATATTACATACAGAGTAAATTAGGACATCTCGCACAGCCGAAGTTGTGATTCTATGTGTTTTTACAAATATCAAAGTATATGTTCGTAGTTACCACTAATGCTTTCATTCATATATGTAGTTCGGTGAATTTATAGCCCAGTGCATGCTGTTGGAAGTTTTTTCACCAATGAACTATAATCTGGTGACCTTGAAAGCTATGATATTGATCTGTATCTGTTGCGCCTATCCGTCTGTTGAAAAAGTCATTGTTTCCAAAAATTTGGGTCACGACGGTAACAGGAGGTCGTAAAAAGTTTTCAAAATATATTAATATAAATTTATTTTATATGTTCAAAAACAATAATGAGAAATAAATATGCTGGTTTTTCCTAAATCTACAGTTCATTCTTCAACTTTAGTTACTACAGAGGTATATTTATTAATTCGATTTAAGTTTTAGAGAATTTTGAGAAATAGATCTTCTGTATTCCAGAATACAGAATCATTTTCCAATTCCAAGAAATTTCTAAGTTACATTTTGAAAATAATAAAAAATGAGGTAATTTTAAACAAATACGAAGATGCAAATGGTGCCAAAACCATTATCTGCCATTATCTTATGTTAATTCGGAAAACTCTCGTATTTTTTCAATTCAAAAGTGATCAGAACTATCAGAAAGCAAATTTTTTTAAACTATCTCAAACAAAATCTTGAATTTAGTTAATTTACACCAATTGGATATAATTTTCTAAGATTTGATTAACGCCTATCTTTGATAGTCATCATCGAGTTCCATTCCTAAAATATTCAAGGATGTTGTTTTGAATTGATTATAATCTGCAGTAAGCATAATTTTCTGTTGAGGATAAACTTACCCTTAAGTTTACGGTGACATATAATATTGTTGTATTAAATTTTCGCTCAACTTTCCAATCGGAAGCCCTGTCCAACCAGTCTACACTGGTCCAAACCACCCCTCACAAAAAGTAGAAGGCGCGGTGTGGAAAATAATTATTTTACCCAAGTTTCCAAAACTTCCGCCGAAGTTCCTGAGAAGCTCCAAGCCTCCACCAAATATTGAAGCTGTAGCAGACGAGAGCGCCGGAGGAAGTTTTCCGAATATTTTGGAATTCGATCTAGGGAAACCATAACAAGTCGATAATCAGTTGTAGTCGGCGACAATCAAGAGGTGGGCCATTTGCCCAAACTTAATGCGAAATTCTCTTCCATCAAAGATTGTGATTGAACGTCGACCCCAATACCTAGCGTTTATTAACTAGGAATGGAACCTCACCTGCATGTGTAGTACGTTTTAAATTATTACCCTTTGCATTATATGAAGCCACTGCAAATTAATAATCAAATATCCGTTTGATATTAATACATTTTGTAACGTATATTCGCAATAGTTAAATAATACACAAACTATTTCATAATTTACTTAAACTGAGTAAAGTGTAGTATTTTTTCATTCTAAATATGCATTGGGAAATCATAACAATCAACATAAGGAGCGAAAAGAAAAAAATCGTTTCAAATTGTCAAAAATTCATAAGTAAAAACTTACTACGGTATAAACATTTTGCCACAGAATTATTCTGAAATCTGCTAAGTTTGTAGAATTTCTTTGCATTTTTTAAAATTGGTACAATGAAAATTAATAAGAGAGCTATGGGATATTGGACCTTGCTTGGAATAGGTACCTGTTCTATTTTTTTAACAAAATCTGTTTGCATATGTTATTCATCATTTCCATATAAAATTTAAAGTATCATTATGATTTTAAATTACCTTTTTAAAATATTTTAACTGATAAAAGTATGATTACTTTTGTCTGGCCAATGAACATCTGCATAATGTATTTTTAAAGGGAAATAAAGGTATTTGTGGTGTGGTTGAGGATATGAAAGAAAACAAAACATACAGATACGTGAGAAGATGGCGGAAAAAGGAATGTGTCCTCTAAAATCCCTTTCCTCCGCATAAAAGAGTCTGTGAGAATTATTTTGCGACGCGAGTTCTCATGAAGTATTAAAAAATACTCATTTACAGTTTTTGCACGTCCTAGCCACCGAATGTAGGATGAATCATTGGGCCGGCGTTAGACAGTAATGAAAACATTATTATTAATATATACACAGTCGAATGTTTTAACCATGCAAAGGAGACTGAGCGTCGAAGCGGATATAAAATTTGTATTTATGCAAAACCGAATCAATTGTATTTAATATTTTCTTAGATTATAAATTTTATTGTCCATTGTAAACAAATCTAATAGGCTATAATAGATATATCTACCGGCCGCATAATTAAAACGAGTTTTACATTCAACAATTTTTGTCCCCATAATTGTTCGAGAAATTGATACAATTTGCTATATTCTTGGCATTTTTGTACAAGATACGATAAATTAGCCACTTTGCTAGTGACATTTCAGGCCACCAAATTACATGTACCAATAGAACATACGTATTTTATTTATTTGTCCAAAAATTTGAAAATGTAAAACAGGTTTAAGTCATTATTTGAACGTCGCAGCTATATTTAATGCAATGCTTAGCGCCTTATGTAGGATGTTTTTAAGTATGTGTCATAATTTCAGAAAGTTGTAGTTAAAGAGTGTTGGAATCTAAATGAACCAAGTTTTAAGAGGTACTGTGGTTAAATGTTAGATGAGAGTTTACTGAACTGGTGTACCCATTTGTTAATCAGTGATCAATGGGAGGCATTGTAAATAAAAACCCTATAATTTTGACACTACTGGATATTTTGAAAATTTCTAGTTATTTTTAAGAAAAAAATGTATTTTCCTGTGATTGAAATATGTCCAATTTTTTAAGTTTAAAGTAAACGTATCATACGTTTGAATAAATTGAAAGCATTTCTAAAACTACTAACTTCACAATAAGTGTATTCATAAAAAAATTATTGGCATAAAAATATCTATTTTTTGTGCTCGGCTCCACATTAGTGTCTAATACGCATTTTTAGTTTCTATTTAACATTTGGAAAAATACATATACCAATTTTAAAGGTAGGGGTGACATTCTTGAGATTTTATACGTAATACAAGCTTTCAAACAATACATATACTTGTAAATATTAAGGAGCCGGGACACCTAGTATTTACAATTTACATCAAGAAAAAATACATAAAATATGCCACTATTATCAATTTGTGAAAAAAATGCTGTGTTACTGTAAAACTAGTCGATTGGATTAAAGCAAGAACTTATATATAGGTAACTACCGAACAATAGCGCGGAAACAAGAAAGGAAAAAACCACAGGAACTTTGCGAAATAATGCTTTTGGATTTACCCGATATTTTACAAACAGTTCTCTCTAGATCTTACCATTCCTAGAATTTTCCTAATAACTATTTTCTTTTGAAGAAATATGTAAATTTTCTGAAGCGACATTAATTTGAGAAATTCGAACCATGGAAAATGAAATGATTAATTAAGAATTGCAAAAGGCGTTTATCAGAAATTTCTCTATTTGATTCATAACATTTCCGCAATTTTTGTATTATGAAATTACACAGTACCTAATCAATGTCAGAAAATTTGTATTTTACATATCTATATTGTTTATATAATATATTTTCGAAATGTGTTCCACCGACATATCGGCACGAATGTGTTGATGAATCCAGTTTTAGTGCACCAATGTTTTTTATTTATTTTACGCTTGTATAAATACAATTTTAGCAACAACGGTGATGAAATCGTATGAAATTCTATGTCTGAAAGAAAATATTTTTCAAATACCCTCACTAAAATGGGGATGGGATTGATGTTGAAACAGCGAGGAGGCACGCTACAGCTCTATCTGGATGCAAGTTATGACAGAGAGTAGAAACTTCAGGATAACCTCTGATTTTATTTGTATAGCCTAGTTAACATTAAAATTGCTTCGATTTTATTGACAATTCTTTTTCACCCTAAATGGATGAACTGAGCTCTCACAGATACTGTAACAAAATGGAGGGCATGGTACATATCGATATATCGTTTATCTACAAGTCAAAAACAAAGGTTTTTATAATAAATCATACTGTCGAATCCCGTTCTCTCCATTGGTCCTCCTTGCGCTACCAGAGCAGACTTGGTCGAAAAAGGATTTTTTTGTTAAAAAATGGCTGCAGGTTTCAAATTTCAACCAAATAGAACGTGCGAAAGTTGTTGTATTACAGTTCAGAAAATAGTGTTATGTGGTTATTGTGTTATGAGATTATAGGGTTGTGAGGTTATAGACTAGCAGGGTTATTGGTTATAGGGTTATAGCATCAAGGGATGTTGTTGCGGAGTTTCACAGTTCTAGAAAATAGTGTTATATGAAGTTATGAGGTTATCTGGTTTGGGAGGTTTCAGGTTATGGGCTAGGAGGATTATTAGTTATTGGGTTATCAGGTTTTGGCATCAATTGTTATACGGTTGTAATGTTTTACAGTTTAGAATATACAGTATTAAAAAGTTATGTGCTCACGGAGTTCACAGATCGGAGAATACTGTTTTATGGAGGTTTTGAGTTTATGGGGTTGAGGTTATTGTGTTTTTCAAAAACTGGGCTTCGAGGTTCTATTCGGAATTCAATTATGAGTATTTTAAGCTTTCGAGCGTTCTATTTGGTTGAGATTTGAGACCTGTAACTATTTTTGAACAAAAAATCCTTTTTCACCCCAGTGTGCGTAGCCTTGAACTCGATGAATTGGGTTACTGTTCTAAGAACGCACTGTATTCGGTAAATGTAGGTACGTTGCTGAAAGCCTCTTGGTGGTCGATCTCTTTCCATTTCTGCCTTTTCACCTAAATCTTAGAATTTGAAACCTGGTGTTTAGAGAGCTTTGATGTGGTTGCCTATAATTTACTTGACATTCTTACGATGACACTTTTCAATGAGACTATCAGCTAAATATTTTTGCACTGATTTACACTTTTGTATCAGCCTCAGCACTGTAGTGAAGCCAGAACATTTTGGATGCTAAATTTAGATTTGAGTCTGAGCTAGTTGAAAATTTATTATTAAATTATTAAATTTGGTATTAAATATAAGAATTTAATTTGTATAATTAATATGGTTTGGTTACATGCAGTAGGACACATACAAATGTATAAAGTAATGAAAGAGAATGCAGAGAGTCGTGCTGGTCAGGTACGTTGCAGTAGTGAATTAATTATAGAACATCAAAGTTGACGTTCGATCACACCTCTTGGTGGCACTGCCAATACTTAAGGTGCATCTCCGTTGTTATCTCTTGCATAGGCTTCTCTGGATTTCGGTGACATCTGGTGTCAACTTGACCCACTGCAAATCGGTGATTTCTTGGAGATCCTTGATGGTCGCTCTATTAATAGCATCATGTTTTCTGAATATTGTCCGCTCTGATTTGGTGATAGATGCTACTACTACTACATACTGGTGGGAAAAACACGTAGTCTAAACAAATTGAAAAAATTAAATAAATAAAGAAGATTAAAAAATTATAAATACTATCTAGGGACTACGTATTTTTAAATTTAAAAGTCAGATTATATCCCTACAATGCTGTATATGTGCTATGAAAAGAAACAAGATAAAACAAGAGAAAGCGGTACATGATAACATTAGTCACAATGACATATTATTTCTATCATTCTGGTCTTTACATTTCTGTGGCCAGCGCACAAAGGAAATTGAAGACATGTCCAGCAGTACACGCATTCATTTTAAACGAAAACAATATCCATACCCAGTCTTCGTCGGCCGGCTGCAATTGATGTCGAATGTCATTCCGATCACATCGCAGGAATACGTCATTACGTAACTGTTAATACATTTATGATTGTGTACGCGACAGCTCGGGTGCCGCAAACGGCCATTAGAATGATCGGTACATTTTAAATTATTTTTATATGATAATGTTTATCGTCTACCTAAAATAGTAAGTGGCTGTCACTGGAAAATTTGCATTGTTTGTTTATAAACGATGCAATAGTCGGGACTTGATTTTCAGATTTCTTCTGGAGAGTCCTGTTAGTCACTGCGTCAAGATAATGTTATGGACAACGTGGCAACCAGTCACCTTACCTAATTGAATATAACTAAACGTTAAAACGATTTCAGTAGGCTATTTGGTCAATAGAACAGCTTAAAAAAAATGATGGATAATTATATGTCTTGCCTGCATAGGCATATGTATTCAGTATCCTTTAAGTAAATTCGTCTGATTTTCAGAATTTGTAAATAGGGTCAACTCTTAATCGTCCAAAAAATGAATTTCTTGATGAAAAATGTAGATTATATTAAAACAGGATAACAGCATATTTATGCAGTTTCCTAATTTCTAATTGAATTCTAAGGATTTTCATTTTAAAAAAAATGTCACAATTATGTACTCAAGTATTTGACAGGACCTTATATAGGGGCAAAATTGTGTTGTTTTAGTGAACAAAATGGTTAAAGAGATAAAGTATTGCAAATTGTTGTGATAAATCCAATTCCAGAGATTTTTTTTAGGTACTTTAATTTAAAGTAAGGAATGTTTTATATGACGTAGAAGTTGGTGATCCAACACCATAGACCTTACAAACTATTAGTATACTAGGTCTACGCCCAACACAAAAAGTCTTAGCCACTTGCTTTTCCTATTAAAAAAAATGAATTATAATTCAGGACTCTCTAAGATATGTGTATATGAAGACTTATAAAAAATTAATTTTGTAATAATTGAAAACCGTCTTGAACACAATAGATCTGACACATTTTTCTATAACTTAAATATTAAGGTCACTTCTAAAGAATTTATGAATAAAATAGATATATAGGGTGCTTAAGAATTTCGTTTTTATATTTGACATAATAAATATACGAATAAAAATAAAAAAAAAATGTTTATATTTAAATGGCTTCTATAATGTTTCCTAAGGGTACTGTTTAAATACCTAAATGTTGTTCCAAAAAAAATGTTCTCTATCATTCAAACGATAGTATCATTATAGGCCGGTCAAAATCGGCACAAAAAATCGCTAAATTCGCAAAACATGATGTATCTCCGATATTTTAGTATGTTGTTTGGACTCATTAGGGCTATGTATACCCAAGTTTGCAACTCTCAAAAAGTTTTCAAAAAACCAAAAACCGCGAAATTTTTGGACTTGTTTCAGATTCTGCTCTATACGGGGTGTCTCATAATTAGCTGCCAACCCTGAACAGGCCGATTCTATGATCAAAACTAAGTAAAAAAGTTCATATGAACATGGGTCCGGAAATGCTTCCTAAGGGCACATGGACCCATTGAAGAGGGAGGAATGGAAATAATTTTTTTGCAATATCTCTCAATCGCGTTGTGATAAATGAATGAAATTTGGTATACACAGCTAAATTTTGATGAGCAATTTGATGGACTAATCCATTTATTTCCACAAGGTCCATTGGGGTGGGTACGGGGGGGCCCTTGGTACTTTGCGTGTGTAACTTTTTCATCTTTGACTTTTTAACAAATTGGACAGCAAATTCCGTTTTCCCGAACTGTTTTACGTTATAAAGGTACTCTTGTTTCAAATCGTTATCTTTAACGGTTTCTGAGAACATCGCTCTGGAATTAATCCCACTTTGGTCAATTTCATAGTAATTTAAACAAAAAAATTTTTTTGTTTAAATTTAATCTAATTTTAATAAAAAATAATAATAAAAAATTAAATTAAATAAAAATTAATCCTTTAAATGGAAAAGAGAGAAAAGGAAAATTATTATTATTATTATTTTAATTTAGTTGTGTATACCAAATTTCATTCATTTATCACAATGCAATTGAGAGATATTGCAAAAAAATGATTTCCATTCCTCCCTCTTCAATGGGCCCCTGTGCCCTTAGGAAGCATTTCCGGACCCATGTTCATATGAACTTTTTTACTTAGTTTTGATCATAGAATCGGCCTGTTCAGGGTTGGCAGCTAATTATGAGACACCCTGTATATACTAATCCATACATTTTTCGTCGAAAGCTATTCTGTACGTTTTTTAAGAGCATCAAATTTATGACAAATTAAGCCTAACCGGAGCTGTATAGGTCAATTGGTTACCGAATTATGGCACTTTGAAAATAGGTCAGTTTTTCCAAAAATTGAAAATTTTAGTTTTATACCTTCTTTGGACCGAAATTGCGTCGAAACCATTGATCCTACGAGTAGAACTTGTAGAATATAATTTGTAGGCAATTTCATTACCTTTAAATTAAGCGCAGAGCTCAAAATCGCAAAAAAAACATAAGGTAAAATCACATTTTTCCAGAAATGTTCCATAACCTTTCCTATCTTTTGTTTTTTAGTTTGGCAATGAAAAAGATTGCATGAAATCATTTAAAGAAACGGTGAAATGTGTTTTAATATAAACATAAGTAATCAAAAGTACTTAATCAATCAATCAGTCAATCAAATTAGACACAGAGTCAAATTCGTCGCCTTGTTTTTAATGGCCCTGGGCCGTTACTTTCGTTGCTCTTCAATAGGTATGTCTTCCACTATTGGTGGGTCGCCGTCTTCGTTCCCTGTAGGTAGGTACTCCAGTATTGGTGGATCGTCAGGGTTGTCTTGAGGCTCGTCATCGTCGTCCTCTTCAATGATGATAAGGGCAGCGTTCTGGCACGTTTCCCCAGAGCAGGTAGCACACATCACAGAACACCTGAGCCTTACTTTGAGGCAAGTGCAGCCACCTCTGCACCCCTTCTTGCATTTGCAAGAGAGTAGTTTTAGGAGCTCTGCGGAGGCAGGAGCTTACCGACTAGTAATGGGGATGAGTCCAGCCGAGGTCAATTCCCAACCCCAGTCGGTGGCCTCTTTCTCCACCCCCAACCACTTGCACAAACGTATACTTCCAGACGAGTGGCAGAGGTGAGGCGGGTTGCGTCCAATTCCCCACCAGCTCATTCAACCAAGGGAAAATGGAGCTACCACCTGGATTTGAACTTTTCATCCAGGCATTTACTGGGTGCGATACCACCTCTGCCCTCTTCTGGCAGGGGAAGATGAAAATGTGGGGCCACTTCAGACAAAATCAAGCCCTAGTGGACCAAGCAAGAGTTTTCCTCCAGAAAGATACCACACACCAACAAGTCGCAGCAGCCGGTGACAAATGTCTAGTTGCCCTATATAGAGGAGACGAAACGAAAATCACCCTCAACGAGGTACGCTTTCGTACTTTTGTGAAGAGAGCAGCCAACGCCAAAGCGAATCTGGCCCGTTTGCCCTCAATCACAGAGGCTGCGTCGTATCACCACTACCGCACATACCACCAGGTGCAAAAGTGGTTGTGGGTGGAGAAAGAGGCCACCTGGACTGGGGTTGGGAATTGACCTCGGCTGGACTCATCCCCATCACTAGTCGGCAAGCTCCTGCCCCCGCAGAGCTCCTAAAACTACTCTCTTGCAAATGCAAGAAGGGGCGCAGAGGTGGCTGCACTTGCTTCAAAGTGATCTGTGCTACTGCTCTGGGGAAACGTGCTAGAACGCTGTCCTTATCATCATTGAAGAAGACGACGATGACGAGCCTCAAGACAACCCTGACGATCCACCAATAGTGGAGTACCTACCTATAGGGGACGAAGACGGCGACCCACCAAAAATGGAAGACATACCTATTGAAGAGAGCAACGAAAGTGACGGCCCAGGGCCATCAAAAACAAGGCGACGAATTTGATGTGTCTAATTTGATTGATTGATTGATTTATTAATTTACTGTACTTTTGATTACTTATGTTTATATTAAAATACATTTCACCGTTTTTTAAAATGATTTCATGCCTTCTTTTTTATTACCAAACCAAAAAACAAGATAGGAAAGGTTATGGAACATTTCTGGAAAAATGTGATTTTATCTTATATGTTTTTTTTTGCGATTTTGGGAGAACTAGGAGTCTTACAGACCCCGCTCTCGCCTAATTTAAAGGTAATGAAATTGCCTACAAATTATATGCTACAAGTTATACTCGTAGGATCAATGGTTTCGACGCAATTTCGGTCCAAAGAAGGTCTAAAACTAAAATTTTCAATTTTTGGAAAAACTGGCCTATATTCAAAGTACCGTAATTCGGTAACAAATTGACCTACAGAGCTCCAGTTGGGCTCAATTTGTCACAAATTTGATGGTCTTAAAAACGTAAATAGTAACTTTCTACGAAAAATGTATGGATTAGGAGATATAGAGCAGAATCTGAAACAAGTCCAAAAATTTCGCGCTTTTTGGTATGTAAAAATTTGTCCACAACTTTTAGAGAGTTGCAAACTTAGGTATACATAGCCCTAATGGGTCCAAACAACATATAAAAACATCAGAGATACATCATGTTTTGCGAATTTATTGTCGATTTTGACCGGCCTATTAAGACACATAGTAGAAAGTTCTTATAAACTTTTTTTTATGTGTATCACCGCCCTTCCTATATATGAGAATATAATTTTCTAACAGTCTTCATATCAGTGCAATTAAGGACCTAGATTTTCCTATTTTACTCATAATCTATATAATATCAAATAACAAAATTTCACGTGTCAAAAAAACTTAAAAAATGTCTTAATCTCGAAAAAGTTATGGGTTAATCAAATAGATAAGGAACCCAAAAAATATACATCCTGTAGACATATAAAAAATATACATCCCATACAAGAAACATGATATTTGACATTTTTTAAATCAGAAAAACTACTACCGATTTGAAAAATGTAAAAAATACTGGGTGTTCTATAAAAAAATTTAATCGCATATTCTCCTGAAAATTAAATATTAAACAATTCAAAAGTCCATACAACTGCTATAGAAAAATGTTTTTCCGAAAATTTAAAAAAATAAAGAAGTTACCGTAGTGATTATTTTCAATGGGAGTTGGTAAGTTGGTCTAAATATCACACTAACAATTTCTCGACGGAAAATTGTTTCCAAGCAGCTTCCAGCATTGCTGGAACAAGCCTAAGATACTACCTAAGCAACTTAAGTACAGTCCGTACAATATATGTTGAGATAGGAAAATTATCGGCCATTAAGGACTGTAACAACTTATCGCGGCAGGGCTTCGAAATTTTCAAATTTTCCACCAATGTCTTTCTACCTCGGGTGTCGAATGCGGTTAATTCCAAGAAAGTAACGCAGAGGCCATCTAGGAATTCTATCTTGACAAATATCGTACGGACTGTAGTCTCTCTCTTTTGGATATTTTGTCGCAATTTAAATTAAAGCAACTTAAAAATCATAAATAAACCCCTGTGCCACAAGTACAAGTTAGGGTTTTTTTTGTCTATAATTTTCAAATCTCACAATAAGGTTTCAAAAATACATCAAAATGATTAAATGTTCGAAGTACTCAATGGTGTATAAAATCTTGGGTTCTTAATAGTAAGTATCTCCGCTACAGTTTCCTACTTTAAAAATCTGCACCAAATATCTTCCCGGACATGATTTTTTTATTTGTAAAACCAGTGGCCTTAAATCATTGTTTTTTAAAGGCTTTTAAGGCATGAAGTTTTGTATTTCAGACATGTTAATATGTTACCGAATGCATATCGATTATGCAATTTATAATTTTTTTTAGTTACCCCTTTCTAAGTTCCAACCTGGCGTTACGCACAAAGTTCCGTACTAAATATCGGTTATTAACATGCGGACGTCATTACGTGGATAATTAATACCTAGTAACGACCGGTAGACTTTCAACTAATATTCATTTACAAATATAATGCATGGACGTCGGCTGATTAACAATTCCGTGTGCGCCATGGGGACATATTTAAACTCAGGATGTGCTGCATCGATTACCGAGAATCGGTTCCTATATTTTGACGAAGCTATATAACTACAGTGTGAACAACTATTCGTCGTTTCCACTGATGATCTGCAAATTGATTTTTTGAATAAAACTAAAAAATAAAATACAAATAACTAAAAGTTATGTCATCATTATCTAAGTAATAATAGATAGTTATGGCGTTCTTTGAATCCAAAATTTTCCTAACGTTTTATATTTGTCCATGTCTATAATAGTCCAGAGACGGTATCTGTTTCAAAAAGTCCATATTTGGGTGAATCGTATATCCACGGAGATTTTTGGCTTTTTGGCTTTCAAATATCACTAGAAATGAAAATTTTCCTATGTGCATAAAAAAAACGTGGACTTAACTTTTGGCGGCACAATATGTTAAAAAAATTCGAAAAATGTCATATTTTTCTTCCTATTTAATTATGTATAAAATGTTCGTAATTATTTCGTCGTATTTTTTTACAAAATATGACTATTTACAAATCGAATAAATCTTGAGTATTATTGTAAAACTCGAAAAAATCGCCAAAAATGGGGTTAAAAAAACATTACTTCTTAGGGAATTTTTTTGGGGTCCTTAAATTGGGTATAGGACTCATACTTGGCTCAAGAAAACTTCATGTTATGCAGAATCATTACGCCAAATTTCATCAAAATCGATTCGATAGATTTTGCATAATAACTTTGCAATCCAGATTTTGAAAACAAATTTGCAAATTTTCAAAATTTTGCACAGTAAAAACCAAAGACCTTAGATACTTGAAAATTTAATTACATATAGAAGGGCTCTCAAGCTTTCAAATGCTTTTTGAAGTAGAGAGCGCGGCCGCTTCGGCCTGCTCGAAATTGAATCGGCGAGTTCAAAACCGCAACGCGCTTAAAAATTTTTTAATATCTCAGCTTCTAGAGGTCCGATTTTAATGATTTTTTTAAATCGATGTCTCGCGATTTAAAAAAGAAACAATTAGCGTATTTTCAAATGCCGATCGTTAATAATTATTGGTCTTTCAACAGTCCGATAATTATTTATCTTTAAACTTCCTTTAATTATCAACTTTATTTTTCTATTGTATCAAAGGTAAGTGCATAAACTTATATACTGTTTATCAAAGATCAAAAACAAATTTATTTAAATATTCTAAAATTGTTTAAACAACAATTATTTTCAAAATATGTCGAAAATTAGTAATATAATGAGTTAATTTCTCATTTGCTTATATTTTAAACAATAAATAATATTTGAATTATACTTTAATCACAAAAGAAATGATGAATAAATTAATAAATTAATTATAAAAAAATCAATAATATTTTATTCATACTTAATTGCATTAATAAATTAGGATTTAAAAAATGTACACAAATTTTTGTTTTAAATTTATGAATGTATATTACAGGGTTGGAAAATCCACATGGTCCATCTGCCTTTACATGAGAGCGACAAAGTAAAGAAATCCATCCGTGCGATAGACAAGGATGGCTAAAGTGAAGACGTTTCATAATCTGAATAGTCACCGCCCGTTTCGGGTTAGAAGTGAGAGTGACTATTCAGATTATGAAACGTCTTCAATGTAATCATCCTTGTCTATCGTACGGATTTCTATGACTTACTATATCGCTCTCACGTAACGGCCGATGTACCATGGGGACTTTCCGAACCTGTATATTTATGTATAAAAATATATATTAAGAATTTAATAGAACTTTTTTACATGGGATTTCGTTTTCTTCTTCGATATTATATTCATCAACTTCTTCGTCTTCAAACACAAAATTATTAATAATTTTCGCGTTATCTAACACCTCGTTCTCGCACTCTACTTCTGCTTCTACTTCTTCGATCGCATCGATTTCGTCATCGATTTTT